AGGTAGTAGGAATGTATTAACCCCCCCCCCCCCCCCCCCGACCCACAGTGTGGCCCTGAAACCGACACGGAGAACTTTAACTAACGCTTCAATACTCCTGTGCATTGTGGGTTATGAAGGTTATTTCGTAATTCAAATACACCAAGTTTCGAAGTCAACCACAGTCGGCAGCTGACTGCTTTGTGATGATGATCTTGAAAAGTTGAACCGTTTAGAAATAAATGGCAAACTAGTGAACGCACAATAGCCTAGTAAAAACTGCAAACAGCCGACAAAAGCCGGTTTTTTTAGGGGCAAATCCTGAAGAATACCAGTGCTGGATTTATAAAGGTAAAGTCGGGAAATGTGAACCAGCTTCATTGCACACGGTTATAAACCATAAGTGCTCTGCCATCAGTACGGACAGCTGATGAGAAACTTTCCGCCTGTTTCACCGTCCGCACGCAACCCCGTAGCTACCAGTAACTCTGGTACCAGTTACCTAGAGGCTGGGTGAACCCCGGAAACCGCCCGGTTTCGAACACTGGCCCCTGGGCTGTTAGGTAGATTATCGCAGAAGGGAGCCTCCGTGGTCTAGCGGCTAGATGCTCGCCTGCGGATCGGAAGGTCGTGGGTTCGGGTCCTGACAGGGGCCGGACTTTTTTTTTAAAATGACCTGGGCACCCAGGTCGACCCAGCCTTTATTTGGTACTAGCTACAGTCCTGGGAAGTAAAGAGGCTGGCGTGATGCTGTCCATATAACCCACAAAGTGCCGTTTGGTCTATAAAATACCGGTCTAGCCCTATATACCCTATACGCCCGAAGGTGTGGAAAGGTTCCTTCACTAATATTATCTCAGGTGTTTATTTCTTTTAACTTGTAGCCTTTTTAAACCTAATAAGCAGCTTGATATGTGTCAATTGCCACATTTTGTTACATATTTTAAACTTTTCTCTAATTAACTGGTGTATAAAACTGTAGGGGCCTCGGGACTAGATATATCTTGGGGCCTCAGCAAAGTCTAAATCCAGCCCTAAAGATACACGTACAGTTCTACCTTGAAATTCGAACGCATAAGAACTCCAATTTGGAATCCGAACGAGATTAGCAAGTACATTTTGTCTCGGAATCCGAACGCCGCCTGTGAAACAAAACACATAAACGACCACGTGACTGGACTGACAACGCAAGAGACTCAACATCTTCACCAGCAGCAAAGGGAAGAAACTGCAGAAGAAATTTATTTCTGTAGAGGAAGAGGGAAAGCTTGGCGGATTAGTTAGTTATTCCTCTTGTACCAAAGATGGCGCATAGGGCAGAGGTCGTAGCTTTCCACGTCCGTCGGTTCGTTGCCACTTGATGTAGGTCTTGAGTGCGACTGAGACCTATGGTTGAGCTCTCCCTTGTGATGGTTCTACGGAGAGTTTCTTTTGGTCTTTCCTGTTTTCTTTTACCCTCTGGTGACCATATGAAGGCTTGGTGGGGAAGTCTCTGTATGTCCATTCTGAGTACGTGACCGATGTAATTCCAGCGACGCATTCTAATAAAATCAGACACATATTTGTGTTTTGTTTCCTGTCTTATAGATGTATTGGACCTAAAGTCCGACCAGTGAACATTCAATAGCTTTCGGAGGCATCTATTCTCGAAAGCGACTAGTTTCTTATCGATTGATACTGATGATTTCCAACTCTCACAACCATAAGTTAGCACTGGGATCACACAGGAATTGAAGACCTTAAGTTTCGTGTTGTTGCTGAGTGATCTTGACTTCCAAATGTTTGACAGTTTGTTAAAGGCACTTGATGCTAACGCGATTCGAGTCGTTATTTCTGATGTGTTGTATCTCCCGCAGAGGTTATCTTGCTCCCTAAGTATGTGAAGCTGGTGATTTTTTCAAGAACAATATCCTTTAGTTTGATGTCTTTCGACTCGTTGGTAAGATCGATGATTTTCGTTTTGGCTGCGTTGACCTGAAGGCCGATTTGGCTTGAAATATTCTGGAGGCGGTCCATTTTTTCCTGAGCTTCTAGATGTGTTGTGCTCAGGAGTGCTAGGTCGTCAGCAAAGTCAAGATCTTCGAGAGCTTTGTCGACCCATTTGATGCCTAGATGTGTGTCCTGTGTGCATTTGCACATGACCCAATCGAGTGCTATTCCGAAAAGCATCGGTGACAAGACACATCCTTGTTTCACGCCTGTTTCTACTGGCGGATTAGCATTGGTGAAATCCAGGATCTTTTGACCGTGTGGGCGAAGACGCAAGAAATTGTTGACAGGTGACACCCGTATAGAGTCATAGTTAACAGATATGTTAACTTATTCAATTATTAACATTTTTCAACATTTAAGAAAACTTTAAAAAATTGTCGCCAACAACAGAGCACTTTGGAGCGCTGGTTGTCAAAAACTAGTCTTCTATGAAAAAGGGGATCTGGCCGATACTTGACGCTCAGAGGATAGGCAAGACAGACATATAATCAGCATGCCACTGGCACCACTGGTATTGGAACTCTTCGCTGGGTGCTGAAGATGGGGACGGTGCGCTTATGGGAATGCCCCAACGCTGTGATGTCAGTTCTTGAATCAGCTTAACTAAAAAAAACTAGTGTCCCTAAACCTTCTACAGCCTGGAGTCTAGGATTTCATCTTATAATAATTTTAAATAGATGCCAGACGCCTCTTGTCCTTTCCGAAGGATACTCAGTCGGCTAAATCTGTTTCACGAGCCACTCTTGAGGCTGTATCCTTATATCCAGGGATTCGTATTATCAAGAAACAGCTATCTTGGTTTCTCAACTAGATCTGAAATTTAGGTGATTTGAACCCAAATCTAGCAAAGAGACCAGTTATGAGAAACGTTCCACAACACCAAATAACTAAAAATCCTCAGACCAACCCCCCCCCCCCACTCCCCCAATCCGGGTTTTACACCACCCCCACCCAATCCGGGTTTTACGCCCCCCCCCCCCCCCCCCCCCCCACCTTTTCCCACCAATTAAAAAAAAGTGGAGCCAAAGGCAATAACGACAGTTTCGATTTGCAGGCTAATTTTTACGATCTGAAAACGTGGGAGCAATGAAAATGGGAAGAAAAAGGGAAAAAGGTAGGGGGGGGGGGGGGTGACCGACAAAAAAATAAAGCTTAATGTCTGAAGACTTTCGATTACAGCTTTCCCCCTCTTAATAGCAGCCAACAGTTCTATTATCTTGTTATGTTTCCTGAGATTTACGCTGTAGGGCAAACTTCACTGTTTCGTCCCTATAATGTCGAATGGATAATTATTTAAACAGTTGTCTTACGTTTCACACTTAATTCTAGATGAAATTATTAATCTTTGTAATATCATACACATTTGTGAAAATATAATTATGTAATACAAGTTAAATATTTCAGTGCAAAACTATCAGTCGATAGCTGATGAAATGAAGATTTCATACATCTTCGCGTTCACCGGTTGTAAACTCCGGGGGAAAGTTATGATTGTTCGCCCATATGTGGACTTTAGTTTTGTTCAAGAAATTGAGTTTTGCATGCACATCCGTTATACCGATTTGGCTTATTTTGCTTGCACACTTTTGGTTTCTCGCTTCTCAGACAGACGCGCTCCGACCTCGAAAGAAACACTCTTATCTAGACGAGTTTTAACACAAGTTTATTAGGGAAGCAGTGGGACAGTTCTTTTCCCCCTGAAAATAGTGCCCGGAAATTCATATCTATAAGATAATTCTTGATATTTAGTCTGCAAGTGAAAGACACTGTACATGTAAATAATGGCTTGTCTAATGTTCCTCGAATCTTCTAACGTACATACCCTTTACAATGCACACATAGTTGAAATGTTAACTTTCTATTCACAGAATCTAAAAGGTGAGACTTTAATCTTTAGAACACCAGAGTTATAGGGAAAACTTTTATTTGTTTGTATGCATTCAGACGGCAACCCGAGATTAAGATCGGTTGTATCCGTTGTGGCTAGGTCTGAGCGGCGGGACCCCGACGATAGTGTTGCATATAGAACTAACTCCGTAGCTCCAACAGCAACCCCTCAAAGGGTCTATTAAACGTTGGCACCTGCAAACTAAGGGTATAATCTGAAATCGGACACACAATCTTTAGAGTACAAAGCCGAATAAATTGGATATTAAAAAAAATTTTTTTTATTAGAATTATCGAGATTTATGCCTATGAGTTAAGTTTGGTTATTCAAAATTACAAAGCGTATGTATTAATTGTATAGACTGTCCTCGTAACCAAAGTCGTCCCCATATGGGAAGTAATTTTTGTTTATTTTGAAGCCCCACTCTGGCTTTTTGCCGGGGTCGCAAAATAGCCTGACGGTTGAACGCGATTTCCGGGACCTCTCAACAGGTGATTCTCATCTGCATGGTGGCACTTTGTGTCACCGGGTGTTTATCGCTCTGCGTGATGTCCTGGTGGGGTCACATTTACTTACTTGCCCGTATAAGACTGTGAAAGAATAGACTGTCAACCTATTCATCTTTTAAGTCTACTTTTAAAAGTAATCTGGGATATCATTATTTTGTATTAAGATATATTAACATCTCATTTGCCAACCCCTGTCCTTGTGATGTACCGTTTAATCTTCCCCAGTAGTTCACTAGAGACGTATACTCAAGTGGTTTTAGTTTAACAGAAATTCTTTTCATAACAGATTACTCTGATCTAACGTTTGGGATATTTTGGTTAGTGTTCTTTGAGAAAAATGTTTTCTGTTTCAGATGACATATTTCAGTTGTTGGTGATAGGTTATACATATGGACTTCATTGCGTAGTTGGGCACAATTCAGGTTATTTTGACTGAATTTTTTTTACACATGAAAAGGGATTTTCTATAAATCTATAGTATAGACAAGATCATAAACATGACTCAGATACAAATGATAGGAGGCAATCTTTCCATTTATATTGCTAAAGATTATCTCCAACTGGACACAGCAGAATTCGTCCCTTCGGAAACTATTATGACTACTGAAGCTAGAAGAGTATCAGAAATTTTCATGGACTTTGTTCTTACATTCACAATTTCAAACATCGGAATCGTAACTAACATCTTAGTCATTGTTGTGTTTGCCAAGCAGGGATTCAAGGAAAGCGTCAACATCTCCATGACGACCATTGCAATTTGGGACTTGTTGAAGTGTCTGGCAGGGGCCATGCAAAGAATGGCGGGACCGATGAGCACATGGTCAGCAGCCGATGCTGAAAGTTGGACCAACATTGGAGTTGTTGTCTTCAACTATCTCATCTGCTATTCCAGCTATATAACAAGTGTCCTGGCTGCTTATGTTGCCGTGGAGAGATGTCTGTGCGTGTGTATCCCATTTAAAGTGAAATGGTTACTGACACCAAAAGTCGTTTTTACAGTCAGTACGGTGATATCGTTTACCGTACTAGGTCTGTTTGTGGTTATGTGGGGAATTTACGACATCGTGTGGGTGTATAACCGGAAATATAACTGCACTGTTGCCGTTTATGTAAACAACAAATTCTATTTTGACAACGAATACCCATTGTTTCAATACTACAATTTGTCTGGTATCCTTTGGCCGCTAATTAGTTTTGTCGTTATTGTCGTCTGCACATTGATAATCATGTACAAATTAAAACAGAGCTTTAAATTTCGTTCCCTTCAAGCAGACGTGAAGCTAAAAGCGGGAAACCAGCTAAGCACTCGAGACAAACAAGTTGTCAAGATGTTGTTAGTGATCGTCGGCGTCTACGTGGTTAGTTTATCACCAAGAATCTCTCATTATTTGGCTAAATACATCGTTCATGAGTTCTACTTTCTCAGACTGTACCATAACTTTTTCGTTTTCATCTGTTACTTCCTGTGGCTTTTTGATCTCATAAACGGGGCTTGCAACTTTTTCGTGTTTTTTGCAATGAGCTCATCTTTTAGAAAAACATTTTATGGACTTTTCAGAAAACACATCCCAAAATTGTCAAATAGCAATACACAAACAAGTGAAGTTGATGCATTTTAGTGAATGTATTTATTCGTTTTCACTCTAAATGTTAGGAAAATAAACATTTAATTGTATGCCATCTTCGCAACAAAGATTAGAACTATAAAACGTTCTCTTTCTTTCTCTCTCTCTCTTTCTCTCTCTCTCTCTCTCTCTCTCTCTCTCTCTCTCTCTCTCTCTCTCTCTCTCTCTCTCGTCTTGGTTTTACACTCTTTTAGACTGCCACCCTTTGGTGTTGTCTTCTCACTTGTGTAGGAAAAAAAATGATAATAATTTGAAAGTAAAGATACATGTATTTATGTGAATGAAGTCTCCAGCTTGCTGGATGATTGGTTGCCATCATTAGTAACTGATCCCTTTTCATATTAAAAGGTCTGAGGGAAAATATCGGGTATCCCAAAAGTCCATCCACAGAGACTAAATATTTGTAACTGACGCAGCTAAAATGACGCGGTACACAAATATTTTAAACGTGTAGGCTCTGGAGACAGATGACATAGTTGTACAACTTGTACAACACAAGGGAGTTCAATGATCGTAGACCAGTGTTCTAATCGTTCAACACAATATTCTTACCATCTTACCATCCATATTTGTATAGACCAATCGGCACAAGATGGGTGATGTGGTCAATATCACACCGGTCGCTTTTACTTCCCGGGACTGCACCCGGTACTCACTCAAGGCTGGGTCGACCTGGGAGCCAAGGTCATTTTTGAAAAAAGTCCGGCTCCGCCAGGGAGCGAACCCACGACCTTCCGATCCGCGGCGTCGTCTAGCGGCTAAGCCACGGCGACTCCCGTCTTCACAAGACAGAAGAGAAATAGTCACGGCGGAAATGAAATGTTTAGGTATTATGTATGCTAAGTGTAACGAGAAAAGATCGACTTAAGAACAATGATATCAAGAGGAGGGTCGGTACAACCAATACTGAACTTTATAGGTAGACAACAAATCAAATGGTAAGGCCTTGTGAAAAGATTGGCATTAGATAGGACAGCACAAAGAGCAATGAGATATAGCGGTAACAGATTAGGAGGTCGACCACACAGGATATGGACCGCAGAAATATAACAGACATTGAAAAATACTTTATACGAAGCGAACGAAAGGCCAGTTTTAAAGATTTCCTCCTACCTTGACACCGTGAGGCATTCCAGAAGTAGAGAAAAGCAGAAAGAAGAAGAAGACGACAAGACAGACCAATAAGACGATGGGGAGATAATATACAGACAGACCTACAGACACTTGGTGTCAGCAAATGGAAAGAGAAGGTCAACAAGATAGATCAATGGAGCCTGGTGATATCTGCACCAGTTAAGCTCAATTTCTAAAGAAGACTTTGGAGACAGTAGTAGCAGCAATTTCTGTTCAACGCTCATGATCATAATTGGGATATACAGTGTAAATTGATTTCTCAGAGTATGTATATTTTTTTTTATATACCGCGTAATCAATTAAATGACAGATATGTAATTTGTATTGTTTCACATGTTGCTTTGATTTGGGCTATAATTATGATAAAAACTGTACTATGAATAATTAGGCAATCTTAGTAACATTGTGTCAATAACATGTTGGATTTATTATTCTCTTAGTGAAATAGTTGATTATTCTCCTCGATTTATCTTTAGGGAAAACTTCTTCAAAGATAGCATAGGCATTCTTTACCCTTCTAAATATGGATTTCCTGGTGATAAGTAAAATCAAGTTGAAACTAAAAAGATATATAACATCTTATAATCATAGAAACCAATATAATGTAGGCTTTCTCAGAGATAAAGAAATTAAGGAACAGTTCTCAGTTACGGTCTCTAATAAGTACCAGGTGTTGCAGCAGTTAGCTGAAGATGTCAACACAGAAGTCTGCTGGGATCAGATCAAAGGAATCTGGAATCAATCTTGCGTAGAAGTTCTTGGCAAGAAAGAAAGGAAACATAAAGCATGGATAACACCAGAAACCTTAAACTGATTGAAGATAGGAAAAGTAAAAAGGCAGAATTAAACAATAGCAAAACTAGAGCTGCTAAAGCTAGAGCTCAGGAGAATTATACAGAAGCCAACAAGGAAGTTAGGAGGCATATAAGGGCAGATAAAGTGAAATATCTAAATGATCTAGCACAAGAAGCGGAGACAGCAGCAGCAAAATGAAACCTCAGAGAACTTTACAGTAACACAAGAAAATTAGTAGGTAAATATAGTCAGCCAAGTGGATCAATCAAAAATAGTCAAGGAAAGGTACTTACTAACACTAAAGATCAAATGGACAGATAGGTTGAATATTTTGAAATGCTTCTAAATAGACCAGGCCCAGAGGTTCCCCCAGATATCCAGCCTTTAGAAATGGAACTGGATATCAACTGTGAGATACCATCCAAAGAGGAAATTAGAAAAGCTATAAATCTTCTTAAGGAAGGAAAGGCGTCAGGTCCAGATGGTATCCCAGCTGAAGCCATCAGGACCAACATAAACACATCAACAGAATCGCTGCATAGATTATTCAGTAAAGTCTGGGAGACCGAAGAAATACCAACAGACTGGAGAGAAGGATATCTTGTGAAACTGCCCAAAAAAGGTGATCTACAAGAGTGTGAAAACTATAGAGGAATTATGTTGCTGTCAGTTCCTGGAAAAATATTAAGTAGAATTATTTTGGAAAGATTAAAAGATGCTATTGATAAAATGCTAAGAGATGAGCAGGCAGGTTTTCGGTCAATCAGATTCTGTACTGATCAGATAGCCACATTACGTATTATAATAGAGCAAAGCATTGAAATGAACTCACCACTTCACATTGGATTTATAGACTATGAAAAAGCATTTGACAGCATTGATAGGGAATCTCTCTGGAAATTGATGGGGCACTATGGAATCCCACAGAAAATTATCAACTTAGTAAAGGCAACATATAAAGACATGAAATGTCGAGTTCTTCATGAGGGAAAGCTAACAGATGCATTTGAAATCAAAACAGGTGTGCGACAGGGATGTCTTTTGTCGCCTCTCTTATTTTTTACTGGCTATAGACTGGACTATGAAAACAGTAACTGCTAACACCAAGAATGGAATTCAGTGGACCCCTACAAAACAGCTTGATGATCTGGACTTTGCTGATGATATTGCTTTTCTGTCCCATTCACGGAATCAGATACACGATAAATTAAATATACTTAATGCGAGATCACAGCAGCTTGGTCTAAAAATCCATAAAGGAAAGACAAAGATAATGAGAATAAATCAAGCAAATAGTAATGTGGTTTCTCCTAATGGCACCCCACTCCAAGACGTGGAGTCGTACACCTATTTAGGCAGTAATGTAGATAAAGATGGAGGAACTGATAGAGATATTAAAATAAGAATACAGAAGACAAGAGGGGCTTTCGTAGCACTAGGGAATTTGTAGAGGTCAAAAGAAATTAAAAGAAATACTAAACTAAAAATTTTTAATTCTAATGTCAAATCAGTACTATTGTATGGGGCGGAAACATGGAGAACAACCAAGGCAATTACTAATAAATTACAGACATTCATTAACTGGTGCCTGCGCAGAATAGAGGGAATAAAATGGTATGATAGAATAACTAATGTAGAACTTTGGGAGAGAAATAAACAGGCTCCAGTGGATCAGGAGGTGAGAAAACAGGAGAACAGCATAACTAGAATGTCTTTGCATTGGAACCCACAGGGGCATAGAATAAAGGAAGGCCAAATAACACATGGAGAAGAGAGCTGGAGAATGAGGTTAGAAAGATTGGGAGGACATGGTTAGAGCTCCAAGCAATGGCGAAGGATAGAACGACTTGGCGTGAGTTGGTTGAGGGCCTATGCTCCATTGGGGGGTTGAAAGGCAGAAGAAGAAGAAGATATAGATTGGGGGAAAGAGGGAAGGGGGAGGGGCTTAGTGATCTCGAAGGATGGCGTCAACCTCTATTGCTGGGTTCAAACCCCGGTGAAGGCTGGGATTGTTTCACATAGGCTTCTAGTAAGTTGTCCCCGCACTCTGGGTAGTAAGATCGAATGCCCGTGTATTGTTGCACGCGTTAAAAAAATCATGTGGCAGTTGGAAATCGAAAAGAGTAGCCTAACGGCACTGCCAGGGCAAAATATGAAGTTTAAAATCTACCCAAAGTTTTTCAGGATCCTCGCCGGTGCTACAAAATTCGTGTACTGCGCTGAGATTCTACGCACTCAAGCTTGAGTCAGAATTAGACCGGACCACTTATGTTTAACTACCCTCGTTTCATGATGTTGATCCGTCGTCTAAACTATACTAAACAAAATTATATATGGAATTTAGTTCTAGTAATTAATTGCTTGACCTTGCCACGCAGGTCTCTGGGGCTGTTTATGTGCAAAAAGTTTTCAATCGTCATTGGTAATTTATAGAGATTGCCTACCATGTCATGAGAGCTGTGTGTAATTTACAAAACTTCTCAGTCACTGCGCATGGACTTATGGAACACGCTATAGCAAGTCAATTTAACTTGAAGGATCCATTTCCACGAACAGGGGCACTTGTGTACATATCGTTAGGCCGATATTGGTATACATAGTATTGACCTCGTGTCATAGTATTGACCTCATGACATAGTATTGACTTCATGACATAGTATTGACCTCATAACATAGTATTGACCTCATGACATAGTATTGACTTCATGACATAGTATTGACCTCGTGGCATAGTAATGACCTCATGACATAGTATTGACTTCATGATATAGTATTGACCGCATGATATAGTATTGACCTCATGACATAGTATTGACCTCATGACATAGTATTGACCTTATGATATAGTGTTGACCTCATGACATAGTATTGACCTCATGACATAGTATTGACCTCATGACATAGTATTGACCTCATGACATAGTATTGACCTCATGACATAGTATTGACCTCATGACATAGTATTGATCTCATGACATAGTATTGACTTCATTACATAGTATTGACCTCGTGACATAGTATTGACCTCATGACATAGTATTGACCTCATGACATAGTATTGACCT